TATTATCACTATGCTTAAGGATATTAAAGTAACTATGAAGACAAAGATAAGTAAGAAAATGAAGTTTGTGGCAAAATAGGTAGGGAATCGTGGTCTATTGATCATGGTAAAATTGATTAAGAATTTGGAATAAGTAACTTAGTAGTGTGTTGTTTTCATTGGCAAAGATGAATATGAAGTTAAATGTGATAAGGTGCAATTCAGAGTCAAGCTTGCTAAAAGAACATGTGCTTGCAAATCATATGATCTAATTGTATCCCTTGTTGTCATGCTATTTGTGTAATTTTTTATGATAGCAGTTTGCCTGATAAGTATATTTATGAATACTATTTAAAGGAAAGATTTTATTAATTTATAAGCACACTTTATAGCCTAACAATGATGAAAATGATTGGCCAAAAAGTGAGAAGTTATATAGCCTCCTTTGATGGAAATAACATCAAGCAGGCCAAAATGGAATAGGATTTCATAGCATGATAAACCTAAAGCTAGATATAAACTATGTAGAAAGGGCATAATCATTACTTGCCATCTTTGCAAACAACCAAGACACAATAAAGCTAGTTACCCTCAAAAAAGTAATTTTGTTGGTACATCTAGCTCTGTAAATTTTTATTTTAGTACATTCTATTTTTTCTTTTGCAAACTTGATTTATTTTTCTCTAACTATTGCTATGACTTGTTTCTTATTACTTGTTCCTAGGTTTCAAAATAGTCAAGTGATTCAGCAAGAGGAAAAGGCAAAAAAATGGGGAAAGGTAGGGGTTTAAAACCAATTAAATTAGTAAAAGAAAAAAGAAAGAGGACAACATCCTTCTAGTAGAGAAAGTGCTACTACTAGTTTAGGAACAAATTAAGTAAATCCTAATTTAAGAAAAGTAAAACTTATTACTACAATTGTCTTGCTTTGAATATTTCCTAATTCTATATTTATATTTATGTTAGCTCTATGACTAGTCCAAAAAAAGTTAAAGTGTCCAAATGGTACTTCATGTGACTGTAAGAATAATGTTGTGATTAGATTTATCTTTTATTTTGTTGGATTAGATTTATTTTTTATTTGCTAGATAACATAAAGTTTTCTTATTTTGTACTAGAAACTAGGACGCCTAAATTCTATATGTGGTTTGAACATTTCATGTCTTTCTAGGCATGTTTTTAACTTATTTTTGTGGTTTATGCCTCTTATATGACTACTAGATGATTTTTCTAGTCTAATTCTTATATAGCCTCGCACCTTGTCAACTTTTTAATATGCTATTTTATTCCTTACTATTTTGCTTCAATGTTACTTTCATAACCTAGCTTCTGCCTTGAAATTAAATGTATCCAACTTTTATTAAATAACCTTTTACTTATTCAAAAATATTTTTCTTGATATTAAATGTGAAATAAAATTGTATAAAGTATCACTAGGATAAATAAGGCTTATGTATTTAATTGTTTTGATGTGATCTATAAATATGTACATAAACACAAAAGTCTTAATGTAGATTAAATAAGAAAGTGTTACTCAACAACAAGCATTACATGCAAGAGACAAAAGGAAAAAAGAGCAACAAAATAGGCCACCACACCTATTTAGGATTGTTTTATATACTGACATAGATACTCAAAAATTAATCATAAATGTTAGCTTATTAAACTTTCAAATTGGTATATACTTGTGTTTTTAAAAATGAACTAATCTCTTACTATTTTTACTCTATCTTTTTTATGTTGCTTGGGACATTAAATGAAACTCTGATTGATAAGGGCAACACAATTAAGGGACCATATGCTAACAATAATGTAGACACCCATTTTGTCTAGGAAAAGCTTGTTATTTGAAAATAAATTCAAATTGATTTTCAATTTTGTTCTGATCCATCAGGCTCAATTAAAATTTAATGCAAATGAAATTTTATTTTACTCTATTATTTTTATTTTATTTTTTATTTTTATTATTTTATTATTTCTTTCTTTCTTTATGGTTCATTTTCCTTCTCTAGTTTTTTGACCAAAAATTTTCGTGTATTAAATACACCATATGCACCACTTGTCAATAGGCCATCCAAGTCTAAAATTTCAACCAGTCACCAACAGCCACTCCGTCACGTGACAACTGCCTAACTTTGGGCTTGAAATTTTCATCTAAATTTTAAAAAATCTAAGATTATGATTTAGGTCTATTTTGACTGTATAAATAGAGCATCCCTCGAAGAACAACAAAAGAACGAAATAGAGAGGAAAGCTCTGCCAAAAACAAAAACAAAAAAAAAAGAAATGAACAAAAGCACAAAAAAAACCTTTGTCGAAACCTAGAAAAAACCAAAAAAAAAAAAAAAACTCTTTTAACTTATGTGGAAAACCAAAAACACTAACTACAAATATATATATATATATAAAAACACACACACACACGCATTCTCTGGAACGAGGAAACACAATGTCAAGATCAAGCAACAAAGCAAAAAAAAAAAGTTTTTTGATCAAAAGTTGTGAGGGCTGATTTAATAATTTTAAGGTAATTTTAGGCAAAAAAAAGGTTGAAAAGGGGTAGAGGAGATTGAGGGCAATTTTTTATGGTTTTTGGATGTTTTCCTATGATCGGCACAACGGTTAGCAATTGACGACAGCTCGGTAAGAACGAAGGCTGAAGTCTGTTGACTTTCTAGCAAGGGCTTGGAAATTTTTTTTAAAAAAAAAGAGATGGTGGAAATGGTTTAAAAAAAAGTTTGGTTTATATTGAAATAAAAAAAGATGAAACAGTGCCATTTTGTCCCAAGAAGATCTTTACATCGACTCAACCAGGACTTGAGGTCCGCACACTTGACCCGTTTGTCCATTCTCGCCTTAGCTCCAAATCAATCTAATTGAAATGCTTATTAACTTAACCAAACCGCTAAAGAACTAAACTAAATTGGATAAAACCATCTAAATCGCTCATGAACCACTCCAAATCGCCTAGATTGCGTGTGAATTGGTGAGATCGTTGATCAGGCCATTGACCAACCTGGTTCAAATTTTTTTTCATTTTTTATTTTGATTTTGATTTTTATTATTACTATTTTTAGTTTATTTTTTATGTTCTAAAATAAATATATTTTTAAAATGAAACCAAAATTTAAATTTTTGATAATTTTTAAATTTTACTATTTTTTTAAAAAATAATAAATAATAAAAATAAAAAATGTAAGAAATGAAATTTTTATCCGATGATGAGATCTAAAGTATTTCGAATAGTGTGCTTAAGAAATCTTTAGGTGAAAAGATTTTTTTAAAATATTATCAACATATTAGAGTATTTATAAAAATTTTTTATACAATAAAAATTTTTTCTTTCTTTATAAATAAAAAAACTAAAAAAATTTATTAATAAAAATAATAAAAATAAGGGAAAATAAATTTTTATCTAGGAATGAGATTCTAAGTATTTCAAGTAGTGATACTTAAAAATTATTTAAATGAGAAAAATTTTTTTTAAATACTACAGTCTAATGGAGTATTCACAAAAAATTTTTAATAATAATAAAATTTTCTTTTTTCTTATATAGAAAATGTGTACAAGGTAAAAAAAAAAAAAGATAATAATAATAAAATTTTCTTTTTTCTTATATAGAAAATGTGTAAAAGGTAAAAAAAAAAAAAATCTTTTTAAGGAAAACTAAAATATATATGCATCAATATTTTGTCGTTTGTATTGCATGTATATCCCTTTTTTTGGAAAATAAACATAAGCCTTCAAGGATGAGATTATGAGATATTTTGAGTAGTGATACTTAAAAATTTTTAAATGAGAAAAATTCTTTCAATATTACTAATGTACTAGGACATTTTTAAAGTTCTTTCAATAATAAGGTTTTAATTTATTTTTCTAAATAAAAAAATATAAATATAAAATATAAAAAAAATGAAAGCAATAAAATAAACGAAATCAAAGAAATTATTGATAAATACACAAATTTAAAATCATTTTTGTCATAATTAAAAAAATAACATATAATTAATTAGTACCATTTTAAATAGGTATGGTAGAATGTTAATCATTTCTCACACGTAACCAACTTCTAAAACTAAATTGATTCGCAGACTTTAAAATCATCTTTTTAATAAATTTTAAATTTTTATTAAAAAAATAAGTTTTAATAAATAGCCAACCGCTCCTAACCAAAAAAACATTGGTAGCGACTCTTGTTATTTTGAAATTCATCTAAAAGTCTCCAAAATCGTTATGATAAACGAAAAGAAGTGAACATGAATGTTTAAGTTCAATATTAGTTAATGCCATGAATTTTGTTTTTTTTTTTGTTTAATTTGTTATCTGACAATTTAAACTACTAATTACCTTTTGACAAATGTAATTGCAAATTAATGGCTTAATGCTGGTTAATTGAATGATGTTATATATGACTTACTTTTAGACTTACTTTCAATTTAGGGTATTTTGTTAAATGGGGTTACATGTTAGTGATATGAATTTTTTTTATTTTAGATTTTTATCTATTTTATTTATAGATTTGGACGGTGATATTTGCTTTTTTTTCCTTTTTATTTTTTCTTTTTATTTTTGTTGTATGATACATGAATAGATGTAAATGGTCAAAAATATTGCCTGTTGTTTTCCTATTTATATATTTATTTATTTCTTTCTATTATATGATATACAAATAGATGTGAATGGTGAAAAATATTAGTTGCTTTTTCTCTTGTTTATTTCTTTTATTTCTTTTGTATTGCAATTTCTGGTATTAAGTGTAACTTTTATTTTTTATTTTTTTTGCAGAATGCCATATTAAAGATATCATTTTGCATGTCATTATGTTAGCTCTCAAATATAGTCTAATTTAACGAAATTTTATTTAATTATATTAATTTTAAAAGTTTTTGAATTTATTTACATAATAATAAAAAATATATAAACTAATTTGGATGCAATAAAATGTTGGGACTAAAACCATTTTTTATAAAAGATGTATGATATATTTGAATATTAAGCCTAAAATAAATAAGAGTAAATCAGTTTATGAAAAATTCATTACATGGCAGTTGAACAATCCCGGTCCAACCGAGAACGCAATTTTCCAAGCAACCAAACAAAACCGAAAATACTTCCCCTTCATTTACAGAAAACCCTAGGTAACATTCTTCTTCACTTCAGCTTCCCCGCCGGCGCCTTACGCTAAAACCCCCCATCAGGCCTCAAGCCAGAAGGAAAAGAACAACTTCAAAGAACCCCAACCAAAGTGAGCCCTATCGTCCCTTTAATCAACCTTTATATTACGCATTTTATACGATATAAATACGTGTACTTTTTGTTTTTTTTTGTTAATTTTTGGTTGTGCGTGCAGAGAAATGGCGGACAAGGCTGTTACCATAAGAACGAGGAAGTTCATGACCAACAGGCTCCTCGCAAGGAAACAATTCGTGGGTTTATTTTTCTTTTAATTTCCTTATGAAAAGCTTAGCTTTCCTTTTTTTTTTTCCTTAGACTGATTGGTTCTGTGTTTGGTAACTGAGAAAATGTAGGAAGAACTTGAAAAGAAAGAGTTTTGAATAAATGGTTTTTTGGTGAAAACTGAAAAGTTGTGGCGTTTTTTTGGTTTTGTCACAGGTCATAGATGTTCTGCATCCTGGAAGACCTAATGTTTCAAAGGTATCTTAATGAGTTATTTTTATATTTAAAGTTTAAATGTGATTTTTTTTTGGTACTCTTTTAAACTGTTTTATTATATGAATTGGAATGTAGGCTGAGCTGAAGGAGAAATTGGCCAGGATGTATGAAGTAAAAGACCCGAATTCAATTTTTGTATTCAAGTTCCGTACTCATTTTGGAGGAGGGAAATCCACTGGGTTTGGGCTTATTTATGACTCAGTTGAGAACGCGAAGAAGTATGAGCCTAAGTACCGCCTGATCAGGGTAATCACTGCTCTTGTCATGATTTATATTTCAGTTTAAGCATTATCATTCAGATGAATGTTATTTGTTACTCAATTGAATTTCCTTACAGTGTTGTAGCATTTGATTAGTCTAGTTGAACAATTTCTTGGCCTTGATTTATCTTGCCAAAGAAATGGTTTAGGACTTTTAAAGATCAAGTTTATGGACACGCTTAATTGCAGACACTGCATTTGTTTAGAACTTTTAGTGTTTGCAACCTTAGTTTAGATTAGTCTTTTCAAAAAATTAGTTTCTTACTAGTTATAGGGACGACGAGAACTGGTATCATAATTGTTAATCATTCTTTCAAATATGCATTGGAATATGGACTAATAATATATGTGGGGAAGCTATATTTTGCTTGTTAAAAGAAATGTAATGTAATAATTGCTGCATTTCCTTTTCTTTTTCTTGGTGACAGTTGAGAGTTGGAGTAATATAAATGCCTAGCTGTGTTGTTGGTATGTGGTTTCCTGGCATTGTTGTAGCTATCTAGTTGGTTCTGTTAGGGATAAAGAAGCTGGTTCAAGAAATTAAATGGAAGAAGCAAGGCATTTATAGTTCGCAGGAAAATTTAGTCAAGAACCTTTTGCAAGAACTATCAACTATTCATGTTGTAGTTCCCATTGAATGCTGACGATGTTGCTTAGCTAACTCATATTGAGTAGAATGGTCAAGTCCTAGAGATAGGTTGCCAGCTGGAAAGCTTGAAAAACTTTGTTAAGGTTTGTCTTTTCTGATGCTAAGTTAGATTAAAGAGGTTTATCTTTTTGGAAATTTTATGCTTGAAGTTCTGGTTCGAGCAGTAATTCAATGTAGATGGGATGGCAATACTATATTATCAAATTGTGGCTATTTTGGCTTCTTGCTTAAGGCTAGCTATGATCTCATGGATTGGTATTTTTCCTTTGAATTGCATTCATAATGTAGAAACGAGCCACCCTCATTGTGTCAGAGGGGTTAGTTTAGTAGCTGCCGAGCAGTGGATCCTATTTCATGCTTTTGGGTCGAGTAACTAAGGAAAATAATACCTTGAACTTGAATAAGAGGAAAGAGTGTTATGAATTTTCACCACATTCTCTCTTTTCTTCGCCTTCCCTCTTGCACTTTTAAGTGAATCCTTGTGCATTGATATTGAAGTTCTTTCTTCTGATAATAGAATGGGCTAGATACCAAGGTTGAAAAGTCCAGAAAGCAGATGAAGGAAAGGAAAAACAGGGCCAAGAAGATCAGAGGTGTAAAAAAGGTAATCAGGATATTTCTTTTCAACTTTTCTTTTCTAAATTTATTTTGTCTACTATCTGTGACTGCATCCAACGGCTGTTCCTTTGTCTGCATGCAGACCAAGGCTGGAGATGCTGCCAAGAAAAAGTGAGATACTCATAGATTATGAGCTAGTTTCTTGCGGCATTACAATTAAGACCTTAGTCATTTGCCTCCATTTCTTTTAATAGCTATGAACTTCAAACGAAATGCTGAGTTCTTTTGCCTTTTTAATAGCCATTTGAGTTCTGTATTCTGGACCTACTGTAACTGTTCGTATGGAGATTTAATCTGGAAGAATTTTTCGGGGATTGAAAATTGAAATCTGCACCAGGACCTTTCATTTTGTGGCTAGAATTTTAGTTTGCATTTACCAATCAGGATGCTTAGATGTATATATGATAATATTAGAATGTATATATGATAATATTAGAAGAGACAAAATCAGAAATGAAAAGATTAGAGAAAAATAAGGGATAGCTTGAATTGAGAAAAAGATGAGAAAGAGCCATTTGAAATAGTTTGAACATATAAAATGTAAACTTATCTGTGCACTAATTAAGAGAAATTAGTTTTTAGATTTGAAAGATCAAAATTTTTAAAAATAAATCACGTAAGGAGTAAATCAAAGAAATAAAAAATGATATAATAATTTAAAAAATAGATAAAAAAATTATTTTTTATATAAATGAGTGACGCATGAAAATTCAAAATTATAATCTAACAGGAATTTTTTTTTTTTTTTACAGTAGATCTCAAAGTTATGGAATGTAAAGGTTAGTTATTTTTTTGCTTTTATTTTCCAAAAAAAAAAAAGAGTTTAAGGAGCTCTTGCCAAAAAAAAGCGGTTAGAGTAATAATAAAAAACCAGTGTTATAGCCCTGCAACATATTTGCATTTATTTGTATTTATGTAAGTTACTTGTATAAAATAAATATTACATTTGGTGAGAGAGTAAAAGCTAAGTTTACAATTTTATTTTATGTACCAAATAAAATAAAACAATCTAAAACAAAGTTACCAAACAAAATTCAATTAAAAAAATTTTCCATTCCCTCGCACCCTAATACCCATTGAACTCAGAAAAAATAAAGAAACTGTTATACGTAGAAGGTCTATAGTATAACGAACAATCTCAAATAAAATCCAACCCAAAATTAATCACATTCTCTTACACCCCAAAATCAACTAAACCCTGTCTTGCGTAAAAAGCTTGGGATTCTTTAAATAGAATAGAATTAATTCCTCACTACGTTGAGATAGATTAATTATTTTAATATAAAAATAATTATAAATATAAATATTATATAAATATTAAAGTTATAAAATTTATAGTATTTCATATATTGTGATTATATTTTTTTATTTTATGTTATGAGTGTTGTATTTTATTTATTAATTATTTGATCAACTTAATGATTTCTTAATTTTTTTTTTAGATTGTGAACTTTTTTATAAAATATTTAAAACAAAAGAATGAAAAAAGAAAAGTAACTTAATTTTATTTTTATATCTTTTTATATTTATAATTATTATTATATTTTTATTATAGATAATAAAAGATAAAAATTCAATTCAATTACAATCTACATCAGACAAACTCTACATTTCTTTTTACAGATCCAATTAAAGCCTAATTTATCATATTCTAATCTAATTATGGCCAAACACATATGAATATATGATCTATCAAACCCAATAAGGTTAAATATAAAAATGACTCATATATTATACATTTTTTTATCAATTTGGTACTTAAAAAAATAATATCATTAATTTAATAATTCAACTTTCATTTTATCATCCATTTTGGTATTTGAAACTAATGTTATCAATCAACTTACTGACATAACATAAACATTCAATAAAATACTAACACATATAAAAAAGATATAATACATGTTACATCATCAATTGCCACATAAGCCTTAAAGAAAATTTTAAAACCTCTAAAAAATTCAAAAATTTCTAAAAAAAATTCCAATTTTTTTTAATATTTTATAAAATTATAAAAAATTAAAAATAGAAATATTTTAAAATTTTAAAAATTTATGAAAATTTAAAAACTCAAAAAAAAAATCTCAAGATTTTAATAAAAATCCAAAATCACACAAAATTGAAAAAATCATAAAAATAAAATTTCTTAAAATTAAAAAAATTAACAAAATTGAAAATAAAAAAATCTAAATTTTTTCGGAAATAATCTAAAAAATTTTAAAATATTGCAAATTTTTTTAAAATTTTTAATTTTTTAATCTTATAATTTAATATATTTTTTTAGAATTTTTTTATTTTTATTTAATTTTTAAGTTTTTAAATTTTTATAATTTTTAAAATATTTTTTATTTTTACAATTTTTAAATTTCTTCAATTTTTAGATTTTTCAAAAAAATTTATAATTTTTTACTTTTTAAAATTTTTCAAAAAGTTTAAGATTTTATTTTATTTTTAATAAAATTTAATAGAATTTTAATAAAATTATCATATTTTCATATTTTGAATTTTGAAAAATTTTTTTTGAAATTTTATTTTTATAACTTTTAGAAATATTTTAAAGTTTTAAATTTTTTTATAATTTTTTAAAATTTTTAAAACTTTTTAGATATTTTTTAAATTTAATTTTAAAAATTTTTGAAAATTTTAATATGTTTTTGAAAATTTCTTTTGATGCTGGTGTGGTAATCATTGATGTGGCATTGATGGAACTTTGTTGACATGTATCAACAACTTATTGGATGGTCATGCCATGTGTTAATAGGTTTACTAATAGCATTAACCTTAGATACCAAAGTGAATAATGAAATAAAAGTTGAAATATCAAACTTACAATTTTATTTTTTTAACTATTAAATTGACAAAAAGTATATAGTAGAGAGATTATTTTTATATCTAACCTAGCCCAATAACTTATTAAATTTTTTTTTGTCAACCAATAGCTATTTGACAAATTAAAAGTAAGTTGGCAATTTAATTGTGAGCTATCTTTCAATTGAGAGTTATCATCATTTGAGAACAACCTTTATTGTATGCTATTGATTAATCTACATGCAAAAAGTATTAGTATACTCACAACATATATTCAAAAATGATATCAATTAATTTTATATTATCTTAAAACGCTTTTATGTAAATGGGTTTTTATTCTTAATTAAATATCATTATTTAAAATATTAGATGTTTTTTAGTTTTTTTTTTTCAATATTTTGTTAGAATTTTGAGAAAATTCCTTCATTTCAAAAGTATTCAAAAAATTCATTCATTTTTTTTTTTTAAATTCCATCATCAGATTAATTTAAAATTTTATAAAAAAAGTTTGTTTTTGTTTTACCAACCTTTCTTATTACTAAAAACTTTATTAAGAATAAATAAAATATTTTTATTGCAATACTTCCCAAATCTTCAAATACTTTTGTAAGATTTTATGAAAAATCATCACTCAAGAATTTCTAGTATCACTTGCCATTTTCTTTTAATTTCATTATGGAAAAATTTTCATTTATTTAAATTTATATGATGCAAATAAATAAATTTAATTATAAAAAATTTAATTTTTTTTGTCTAACACATATTTTTAGATTTTTATGTTGTCAAATGATTAAAACATATTCTTAATATAAGATTTTAAATATGTATATAAATAAAAATAAACAAATCAATAAATGAAGAAAAAACTAAAAGGAAAACACAAAATAAAATAAAAATAAAAATACCAAAAGAAAAAAATTGGTTACCATGTGTCTAAAACAAAGAAAAATACCAAAAGTTTTTTTTTTTTGTTTTTTCCTAATCACTCTAACCAATTTATTTCATGTCTTAATTAACCCTTTAATCATTTTTTATATCTTACTTAGGTGTTTTTGAAATTCAGAAATCTTATATTTGAAATAACTTTAATATATTACGAGAATAAAGAAATAACATAAACCAAAGCTTAAAAACAACTTTCACCAACCTTTGTAAAGACATTGCTGAGCCGTTCATAATAAAACCAATTGGGAATAGTTTTTATTATATGTAATAGATTATAGATGGCATAAAAATAATATAGATTAGAACAAGAAAATAGGGTCTCAGTGTTGACTTCACTTAGGTTGGTATTTTCAAATATCAAGATCAGGTTGAGGCTTAGTCTATCAATTTAGGCTTGATAATATTTATAATATTATTAAAATTTATTTTATATTAATATTATAAATATATATAAAATATTAAATTTATCATATAAAGATTTATATTAACACATTAAACGCTAAATATATTTTTTATTTTTATCAAATTCTATTACTAAAATTTAAATTGTGTTATTCATGTTTTTTTTTTTATATCACATTATTATATCATATTTAATTATCTAATTTTTGTTTTTTACCATGTTTAGGATTTTTTTTTTAGGGGAATTCAGCAATTTGGCTAATTATGTTGGTTTGGTTACTTGACAAAAGAAGAATGTTTAAAATGACTCTTGTTTTAACGTTTAAAAAGATTTCAAACAAATAAAAAAAAAACACCCAAACCAATCAGCTTTATATATGAGTGACAGCTTTATGTTCTACTTACCACTAAAACATTGATTTTCTAAGTTATGCTCTTATCTACAAAGTGGGTACCACCACATCTTTAACTTTGTATTTTCATTAAATAAAGGGTAACTTTATATAGTACTGTATTAGTGTTTTAATCACTTTTTCTTTTTTTTTTTTAATAATTTTGAGACCTTATTTATATTTAAAAAAAAAAAACTTTTAAAACGTGGTTCATGCACCAAAACGATGAGAGGAATAAAGCAGTTTAGGACTGTTACGTCTGGTTAGTTAAATCAGCTTTATCTGGTCAATATGCTCTTGATTGTCACATCACTTATTCAAAGAGGATCAACATTTAAATTCTGTGTCGTCATGCATGCTCGCCTACTAGAGTTCCTCACTAATCTTACAGTCCTCACCTGTCAAGAGTTATTCATTCAATTCTGTCGTTAACGTCTCATCAATTAATTACTTTATTATAGTTTTTTTTTTTTTATAATCATTAAATGTTGTTCACTTTCAACTCATATAAATATCCTTGAATTTTATATAAATATTTTATTAATTATCAATTATTTATTTTTTATCATCGCCTATATTGTCAACACACAATTACCTTTAAACCCTTACCACTCATATTAGTGTTTTTTTTTTTGGACGAAAATTGGTATCTGTACAATTGAAAAATCACATGGAAATTCATATCTGTGTGACTTGAAATACAGAAGGATATGAGCATTCGTTCGCATCTTACTGTTGGAGAACACTACAGCTCTGATATCATTTGTTGGGCTAAAAGCCTCCAATCCAATCATACCAACGAAAGCAAAATCAAACAATAAATTAAACACATCAGAGACAACAATTTAACGTGGTTCGA